AAAAAAAAGTTTGATGTCATCAGTAGCCGATGATTTGCTGGAACACCAGACGCGTGATAATACTGTTGCTACTGAGAAAATTGATTTCGATGCCGTCTCTCATTTTGATTTGATTGGCAAGTGGTTTTTTCTTGAAGCCAATATTGCCACTCCCCTCAATGGTTAGGTTGTATGCAACTTTTGGATCGATGATAATCGGGTTGGGTAGAACGACATGAGTGGTCTTATCTGGGATGAGATCAATTACCGTTCCGCTCAATTCCTTGCCACGGGTATATAGTCTTGCCAGAGCGAGTAATGCTTTTGGGAGTGCGGCTTTTGCGACATAGAATTCCGTGAGCAAAAGTCGTGCGTTTGTATCAAAGGTGCTGAAGTTTGGCATTGTGAGCCGAACATACACATGTGCTTTGTTCTTCAACCGTCTGTCACAGTCCAGTACGTACAACGGTTGAGGGGCTGGAACATTTGCCTTTGCTTTCTTTGACATCACCTCCAAAATGATTTCTTCCAAGTCTTTCTTGAGGAAAAACCCATTATACGCAGCGATAAATTCAGCGAACTGTCCTTTGGTCAATTCAGCAAACGGTATTCGTTCGAGTGAATCTTTGAGCTGTGTCTTCAAAGATGCTGGACTTATGCGCACATTTTTGTGTTCACATTCGGTTTTGGCCCAAGCCATGCATGCATCGACAATGGCTGATGTACTGCACTTCGATGACACCAACTGTAGTATTTTGTCGAGAAGTTTGTGGTCGCATTCCAAGAAATTAGTCGATTTCAAAACTTCGGTTGGCTTCTCTTTGATTTCTCGTTCGCAGAATTCGATGACATTTTTCATCTCAAGCAGTAATGCCACTGAATAACCCGTACACATGTTGTTGACTTTCAATGACTTTTGCATCGGAGCTTCGCAGCGTTTCAACGCATCGGCCATCTCGTATTTCTTGCACAAATTCACCACTTGAAAGATGTGTTCCGATGAAAGTCGCACTTTGCTCAAGTAGAAAAATTGCAGAAACTCTTTGAACGCGTCGCGAGATGCATCTTCAATAACAATGTCTCCTTTTTCAGGTAACGAACCGTAGAACATCGTGTGAAATACCGTACTGACGCAAGCTAAGAGAATTTTATGGGCCGTAACGCTGTCGATGCCTTCACCAAACACGAAATTCACATCAGCGGTCGTTGAATCCAGATACAACTTATCGCAATTGCTTCGTGCCAAATCGTTGTCTTCTTCGAACAACTGCTCTTTCACTGTGTCGCTCATCGTTGTGTTGACTGTAATGGAATATTGAGAAAATGGCATCAGAATACCTATTGTTGTTGCAATTTTGAAGCCAACAAAGCATTTTTTTTCTTTATCTTTTTCTTTTGTCCATAGGCGTACTTACTTTTCAACAATTTTTTGATCAAATTATGGCATTTTTGCAATTTTTCCGAACAATTGCGAATGTTGTTTGATTTAATGTTGTGAAATAGCTTAGATTTCGATGTGTACAGATACCAAATGAATTGTGTTGTGCAAAGAACTGTCACTTGCTCTACGCTTCAGACTTTGACAGATCTGAACGAAAACGACACACACAATTCACGCACACATTGACTTGTGCATAGCGATTGATGAAGAAAAAGAAAACATTCAACACATCTCATGTTGAGCATTGGGAATGAGACATTAGAAAACATTGTTGAATTTGAAAAAAAAATAAGCAAAATGTTTTTATTAGGTTTTCGCTTAGGTTTGCCTTTTATTCTCATTGGTCCATAAGTGTGTCCTTTGTGCATATAATAAATGCAGATCAGATGATTATTTCATGATTCGTCTTTATAATGACTGACAGTCATTGACTGTTAATTAAAAGTCATTAACTCATCAAAAAGGTGGCCAAGAAAAAAACCAAATTCGAAATCAAAAGAATAAAAAGCTTGATTAAAAACCAACTGGTAGTTGAAAAACCAGGCCCGTTATAACACCATTATCGTGGAGAAAGTCGATTTCAATGCCGTCTTCCAGAGGTTTTCCATAAGCAAGTGGTTCACTTTTGAAGCTAACTTTGCAATTTGGGTTCATGGAAATAGTTCCGATTCTTATCTCATATTCGCTGTACGGATCGATGATAACCGGCTTCGAAAGAGTGACATGAGTAGTTTTTTCTTGAATTAGTATAATAAACTTTGAAGTTAATTCTTTGCCACGAGTCGATATCGTTACAATGCACGACAATTTCATGTCGTTGTTGATCTTTGCTACATATAATCCCATGAGTAGAAGCCGTTTGTTTTAAGCGAAGCAACTGATATACGGCAATGCCGTATTACGGCATGGTAACATCGTGATTAGCTATGTTGTCTACCATACGCCTGTTACAATTCAAGAAGCCCGATGATTCAATTTTCCTTGTCTCCTTCGACAGAAGTGACAAAATGATTGCTTCCAATTGAGCCTCGGTGAAAATTCGCTTGTACGTATTGATGTGGCGTGAAAACTGTTCCAATCAAAACATAACGAGTGGAATTTAAAACCAAGCCCATATCTTTGACGATGACAATTTTCTGTTATTTCGGTTTCCATTGTTCGCGATCGACACTTTGAGGTGACCGAAATATCAGGCATTTTATCTTCTCACAAATTACGAATAAAATCATCTCAGTGTACTTTGTTCAAGTGTTCTATCATGGGCAATGTTACCATGCATAAATGTTGATAACCAAACGGCAATTATGTCGCTCCCATATTTCCGTTTGGAAAAGAATAGCCAAGAATATGAACACATGAGCAGGTTATTGACTGTACGATTGCTTATAATCAATTTTTCGCTATATAGCTAAGGAACAAAGTTCACAATGGGGATAAACTCATGGTTTAATAACCGGACTTGCAAAAAATATGCAACGCACGTTCCGTTTGCCATGAGCCCATGGAATTCGATTCATTCTGTAACAGATTGATCAACGGAAACAATTTGATGGAAAAATCAAGCTGTTGTTGTTATCATGCATACAATGAAAATCATGCATTTTTTCTATATTTTTGCACGGTTTTTTTCTTAAATGAAGTCAACTGTAGCATTTGAAATAGGTCATTCATCTAAGTGCCAAAATGTGGTACTGAGCTATAATAAAATTGTCATCTCTGAATTGAGACTGCGTTGATATGGACGATGGACATTGGACATACAAAGTACAAATCCCACATTTTTCCTTTAGATCATTGATAAGTCAACAACAATGTTGTACGAATTATTTTTACACTTCAAGTTTAACTGGTGTTGCGAAGTATTCTGATAAATATTCTAGAGTGGATGTTGTACATTTTTCGATGATCTGAAAAGACGTTGAAAGGAAATGAACTATGGGATGATAAAAACAGCCAACATTGTAGCTTTTAGCATGTAGTGTTGTTATCTTATGCGCGTGGTATCCCAATATTACTTCCATATTTCTCGGGAGAGTATGAAGCATTTGTTATTCATAAACGATTCTCAGAGATCAGTTTGAAACATTTTGTTGAAGTGTTTACACATAACAGAGTCTCATAGAAAGGAGAGTGAAATGAGAAACAGAGTGATTTGCATTTTGTTGCTCTTAGTGAGCATTCACATTATTATATGTTCAGGAGAAATTTCTGGCTGCAGTTATTCAAGCCAATATGATTCAGATGGTTCTTATGGTTCTCATAATGTATTTTATTCAGTGGAATTAAGTTGCAGTGACAGTTATGACGGTGATTGTACCAGTTACAAGTGGAGAAATGGCTATTATTCTTATGATACATCTGACTGCCGATGTTATAGGCGTTTTCTCTCAGACGAATACGATTATAATTTAAATGTGGAAAAATTGAAAGCTTGTTCGGGACATCCCTTGGATGAAATATTGCCGGGTCGATTCCCAAATCTGCAGATATATGATATTTCATCCACTAAAATCGAGATTTTAACATCTGCGAACTTGAATTTTAAGTCACTACAGAAATTGAAGGCACGTAATAACAAATTAACGAACATTTCGGGATCAGTTTTTGTGCACCTTGCGAATTTGGAAGAAATAGACTTCTCGTACAACAACATAAATGGGCTGTATCAAAATGATTTCAAAGGAACGACCAAGCTGTTAAAGATCAATTTTCAATATAATAATATTTCCATTTTGGACGAGGGATTATTTGTTTATACTCCCGACTTAACCACATTAGACCTTTCTTACAACAATATCAAAGGTCTTCGTCAAAACCACTTGAAAGGAGCGGCCAAATTGTCATCAATCAATTTTTCACACAACAATATAACCATTATAGAGACGGGCTTCTTTACACATACATCCGATTTAACTGTTATCAACTTCGCCTTCAACGAATTATCCACTTTGAATAAAAACATATTTGGGGAACTGCAAGAATTGACAAATTTGGATTTAAGTCACAATTCAATTCAAACGATTGATGAGGACTTGTTTCGAAACAACACAAAATTGGAAAAGCTGAATTTGGAGAATAACCCAATTCAGCGTATTGATCAGAAAATACTCATTCTGTTGACTAAACATGTTTCGGTGGATATTTCCTGTGATCATGTCAAAGAGTTCGACTCCAGCTACTTCACAAAAAACATACGATTCGACTCTGGACGAGTAACCTTGTCAGGAAACAGATTAGATTATAGTAGATACTGTTTGGAGCAGTTGAAGTATTTCAACATTTCGGGAAATAAGCTTGAAAATACTCAAGAAACAATCGAGTACCTCGGATCACCGATCGAAACGTTGGACGTATCTTCGAACTTTATGGGAATATTGAGTGCAAAAATCTTCAGAAAATTCATCAATTTGAAGTACTTGAATCTAAGAAACACCAACCTAACTGAAATCGATTCCGACACATTCTATCCGCTCCTATTTCCAACGAGTGGGAGAAAATTGGAAGTTCTACTTTTAAACGATAATCCAATCGAACGATTGGATTCGAATGTATTTTCACCCGTCATGAATTTAGTTGATGTGCAAGTTTCCTGTGATTTTGTTATGGCGATCGACACAAGTTGTCTTGGAAATTCGCTGAAAATTGATTTGAACGACAAGGATGGAATCGTTTTCACCGTAATAAATCGCACATTCAAAATGTACTGCACCAAAGAGAGATTCAAACAATTTAGCTACTTCAATATTTCGGGAAATCACTTTCAAGATACCCAGAAAGTAGTTGACATGCTCGGAACACCAATTAAAACGTTGGATTTATCCTCGAATTTCGTTGGAAAACTAAGTGCACAGACATTTGGGAGATTTTCTAATTTGAATTACCTAAATTTAAGTCAAACGAACTTATCGAATTTCGGGTTCGGCACATTTTATCATCAACGAAATTTGGAAATTCTAGATTTATCATTCAACCGATTGAAAAAAGTCAACTTCACATTGTTTTACCGAAATTTCCTAGATTTACACACACTTTGTCTTGAAGGGAACGAACTGAATGAGTTACATAGCGCAAATCGAGCGATTTTTCCAGTTCTCAATAAATTAGGAATTTCAAAAAACCATTTCTCATGCGATTATCTGGCGTCATTCTTACCTCAATGGCATTCCCATTTGAACTTTATCACATATCCAACGAATGAAACGAATATCGTTGGAATCGACTGTTTTCATGAAAACGACGAATCGACTACATTGAGTGCCAAAACTGTAACAACACCTAGATTAACGACAACATCAACCTCAACGTTAAAAACAACAACCACGGAAAAATCCACAACAGCCTTTCAAGTTGATATGCCTAATGTCAAGCCGAATTTCAAAGATAATTCCACTGTGACTCAACGTACAATCGACAACAATAAATCCACAACTTCCGATGTCATCGATCAAACCGCCAAAACTGAAGAAAAACCAGCCACGCGATTCGAGTGCACATTTCTATCGTCCCATATAGACTCAGAGATAATGCAGCTTTCCTGTGATCATATCGAAGAGATTGATACCAGTTGCATGGGAAAAAATATTCAAATCGATTCGGGAAACGATAGCGAGGTTGTTTTCCATTTGCTGCAAAACAACTCCGAACTGCGCTGCAGCAAAGAGAATTTCCAAAAGCTTAAGTACTTGAATATCTCCGGCAATCAACTTCAAAACACTTCGCAATTGATCGCATTACTTGGGCTATCCGTTGAAACACTGGATGTCTCGTCGAATTTTATTGGTGAACCCAGTGCACAGACATTCAAGAGATTCACCAATTTAAAATATCTTAACTTGAGTAACACGAATCTATCCGAATTTCAATACGGTACATTCTTCAATCAACAGAAACTTGAAGTGCTGGATATTTCTTTCAATCGTCTGGGAAGAGTTGATTTCACCAATTTCTTGAGAAATTTCAGGGAGTTAAATACGCTCAATCTGGAGGGGAATGATTTGAAGGAAATTGACAGCGTTACTCAAACCGATTTCCCCAAATTATTTATTTTGGGCATTTCGAAGAATCATTTTTCGTGTCGGTATTTGGCACAATTTCTACGTGGATGGAACTGGAATTTAAAACTTCTCAAAAATCCTTCGGACGAAACACATATTGATGGAGTTGACTGTCATACAGAATTTCAAGGCATGACCAACAACGTTGCAATGAAACGAGGCTATGAAGTACAAACAACGACAACAACGGGATTTGTTTCAAGCACACCAAATTCCCCTATTGAGAAGAAAAACTTTAAAGGAAGCAACGACAACTATAAACCCGTAGACACCGAATCAAGTTCCTTATCAGCAGATGTACGAGTATTGAAATACCTTTTTGTGGCAATGTTCGTAATGTGTTCTGGATATATGGTAGTGAAATCGAAGCTCATTCAGAGAATAAGATACAACCTAGCACGGGATTCGTTCGAAACCACAATGAATCAGCAATATTCTCCAGATAGCACTCACACAAGCGTAATTGAACTGACTCAACGTGATCGTGTGCACGAATAGAGTGGACATTCCCAATTTTCAATGTTGTATTTTGATAAATTTCATATAAAGACTTATTTGAAACTTTATTGTTTTTCCATTTGAGACTTGCGCATGATTGAGTGATAAATGATTTAGATAAAAATTAAAATTCAAATAAATCAAATATAATGAAAAAGATACGAGTAATTGTAGCGAGTGCACTGACTCGTGCGCCTATACGGGAATATAAGCGCACGACGTCGCCGCACGAGCGGCGACCGCATGTATAACAAACGAATACCGAATAAAGAGAATCAGTCTAATTGTTACCAGCAAACCCGACGTGTCTAATTATCGAATATTCTACCCTACCTTTAGCTACAGATCCAAAGATAAGAGCTACGGATCCAAATAAAAAAGGTAACGATCAGAACACCCTTAAATTGGCGCTGCAACAAACGAAAGACTCACAACATAGAAAAAAATAGCGGAATCGTAGACCGATAGAAACCAAAAAAAGGGGGAAAAAAGAAAAAATCAAAGTTCCACGTGTCAGTGAAAGTGCACAGAGAAATCAAGTGAGCGATTTGTGATAAAAATCATCATCACGCAAAAACTATTCGTGTACCAAAACAGTGCATAATAGAAAAACATAGATCAAAATCCACTCACGCACCGAAAAAGTGAATAGAAAAATACATCGGGCAAAATCCATTCATACACTTGAATATCGGAGAGAAAAAAAAACCATCGAGCAAATTCCATTCGTGTATGTGAAAAAGCAAGAAAAAAAGACACACGCGAATTCCATACACAGAACAAAACCGAGAAAAAACCGCACGTTGCATAGACACGTGCAGTAAGCCACGAAGAGCGAGCGAAGGGACCCAAAGAAGAACATAAGCAAAGCGGAGGTGAAGCATAAAAACGAACGAAAGCGGCCAAAGTGTGGGAACGAACAGCGGCGGAAGACGAGTAACTGGACACCAACTTGGAGACAGCAGAATATCTGAATCGAGTACGAGCTAATTGTTGGGATAGGTCGTTAGGTGAGTACTGATTTGCATGTTTTTAAAGTGAAGTGTTCATTTTTTGGTTGATTTCGATTATTTACACTCGGCTAAAATCAAATGGTGCAATTAAATATATAATTCAGTAGTCAGCAAGCACAACCGAATTTGTTCCTCATACCTTTTCGTTTTCGTCCGGCTCGTTAAAAAAAAAAAAAAAAAAACAATTAAACACACATAGCATAAAATCGAATTTGGCATTTGCTACTCGTGCACTTTTCGAGTTCGACTCCTCAATGCAACGAACGCCACCGCCAAAGAAAAACGATAATAAAAAACAGAGCGATTCGGGCTATTTATCTCATTTGTTGGACTTGGAAAAAAAATTAAAAACGATAGAAGATCGTGCGGTTCATGATTTGACCACAGGCCGTAGATCGCTAACATTTAGCGCGCCCGAATCGTCCTCAACATTTATTTTCAACAGAAGTCCAGTACAAGTGAATTTGAACGAGACTTGGCTTGACGGAGCTGCTGGTTTAGACGCACAGAGTCAATTTTTAGATCCAAATCGAATTACACAGTCGCACCACGGCGGTTCAGTTGTCGATCATTATCATTTCGATCCGTTTGAAGCAGCCGAAGAGACATATTCGGTTTTGACAGACAAATCCATCGGTAACTTATCGGTAGAGAGGGAAAAAACTGACGGGAAATCAGACGATCAGCTGATTAAAGTAACAAATAAAGAACCGACGGAAGCGGATAAAACAACAGACACGGCGAATGGTAATCCGGAAAACGCGACAGATCCAACAGCGAATAATTTGACTCAAAGCCAACAGCCGCCAAACAACAACAATAATATTAACAACAACAATAACAACGATCGTAATAACGACGCTTCGAATCCTGAAAACGGTAGAAATAACAACAATAATAACGATAATAACAACAATAATAATAATAATAACAATAACAATAGGAACAATCATTTTAATTCTTCGGATTCTGAGCAAGAAGGCGACGAAATGGCTTTATCGTTGAACAGCATTATGAAGGGTATTCCCAAATTCATAGAAACTCATGATGGAATATTGCAATTTATTGCGGAAAGCGACCTCATTTACGACCTGAGTGAGGCAGGCCAAAGGCCTACAGTGCTGCGAATAATAAAAACACGACTAACAACGGCACATAAGCTGGGCAATACAACGAATGACACGTGGGAGCAAATAAAAACAAAAATGCGTGAAAAATATAAATTGACGATGACATATGAAACAGCTCAAGAGAGACTGTTATCGATCAGACAGGGACAGAAAGAATCGATAGATGCATATGCCGAACGGGTGAAAAAACTGTTGGACATGCTGAATTTAACATCGTCAGGCGAAGACGCGGCTATACAAGCCGTGAAAGCTGAAATGAACGAGGAGTTAGCAGTACGGAAATTCAAGCAAAATATATACGATGAAAGAACGCGTACAATGGCACTCAGTGCGGATCACAGAAGCTTGTATGAGGCAGTCGCACACGCCACAGAAAAACAAGAGCAAATGCAATTATCGAATGTCGCTAAAGATCAATCAAATGAACAAAAACAAATCAATAAAAACAATAACAACAACAATTTTAACAAAAATAACAACAACAACAATAATAAGAATAACAACAATAATAAGGGTGATAACAACAAAAACAATAACAACGCTCAAAACAACAACAGCAGGATACCGTGCAATTTCTGCAAAATGACAAATCATAGACCGGAGCGATGTTTCTTTAACCCGAATAGAAATGACGAGCAAAAGGCTCAATCGAGTGGATACAACTCTCAACAAAACAAAACGAAAACATCGAAAACAATGGGTGCTAGTATAGAAGATGCATCAAATTCGGAGGGTGAAGAAGTATATGAGGCAAAGGTATCGACGGGTGCCACATCAACTCCGTTATTGCCGATGCATTTAAACTCCGAACGGTGGATGCACAAATAGAATCCACAGTGCATCCACCTAAAAATCAAATCGAAAAAACCGAAATGCTTGAGCAAGTAATCAGTCGTATCTCAGTCGAGAGCGCCATTCAACTGGAAAACAGAGATCTCACCATAACGGCGTATGTATCAATATGTAACAGATTGGTGAAATTCCTTATTGATTGTGGTGCAAATGCTACGATAATAAGTTACAAGCTCCTAAAGCAAAACATTCTGTACTACCCACAAATAAAATATTGTATGACGGGAATAAATGGACCGCAAAACGCAGTAAAAACCCACGGCGCTACGTATGGCAACATAATCATAAATGGCATAAAGCTAAGACAGCAGATGCAAATCGCGGGTGACGACATTCACCTCAATTATGATGCAATTTTGGGACTTGACTTCCTTTATGCCTACGGTATGATCATGAACCTGAGATGTCTACAAATGAGACTTTTATTGCCAGCATGGCATGAACTTTATGAAAAACCCGAGCGAGAAGCGTTCGAAAAATTGGAGCCTAAAATAAATAAAAAAATGATAAAAAATGAATTGATTTATTCAGAAAACAAAGTAAAAAACACAAGCAATTGTGAAAGCGAGCTCCCTAAAAACGATAAAAAAGAAAAAAAGTTCGAAAAAGTCATGCAGGCTCAAATAAATAGACTCGCAGTAATTGATTTAACCAAGTAAACCGCTAAAAATCTTGCCGTATAGCCAAAAAAGCGTACGAATCGCAACTGAAAAACCTCTATTGTGTAAAGCAAAGGCGTACAGCAGGGGCGTTTATTCCAGCGACACAATAGTTGATAAAACAAAAAATCTATTGACAATTTACAACTCCACGGACAGAACGATAGAAATAAAAAACACAGAGGTGGAGACGGAAGACATGGAAAAGTATAGTGTCTTTCGTATAAATAATAAAATCAAATCTGATGCAGAAACGCGCATAAAATTCATATCGGAAAACCTAAAAACAGCACATTGCAACAAAAATGATAAAAAGATTATCGAAGAATTGATAAGTGAATTTCATGACGTATTCCATGTGGAGGGCGATGGTCTTACATTCGCGAAAGACGGAGAGCATAAAATTTTCACAAAGGCGGATGCTACACCAGTGAATACGAGGCAATACAAAATACCGCATGCGCAATGGGACATCGTCAATACGAAAATAGATGAAATGTTGGCAGACGGTATCATTGAAAAATCAACTTCGATGTGGAATTCTCCACTATTGCTCGTACCGAAAAAATCGCCAAATAACGTCAAAGAATACAGATTCTGCATAGATTTTCGTAATTTGAACAAAATAACGGAAACACAAACATTTCCGATGCCGAACCTGGAGGAGGAACTATGCAAAATGCATGGTTCAAAGATATTCTCATGCATGGACATCTACTCGGCATTTCATCAAATAAGATTGAGTAAAAAAGACAGAGAAAAAACGGCTTTTACAGCGGGCCACCGTAAATTCCAGTTCAAGCGCATGCCTTTTGGACTGAAAGGCAGCCCGATCACTTGGCAGATATATTTGACAGAAAAGCTGGGCGCGTTGCTGATGGCAAATGTAATGGCATATATGGACGACATTATGGCATACAATAAAAC